TTTTTTTTTTTTTTTTTTTTTTTTTTTGAGACGGAGTTTCGCTCTTGCTACCCAGGCTGGAGTGCAATGGCACGATCTCGGCTCACTGCAACCTCCGTCTCCTGGGTTCAGGCAATTCTCCTGCCTCAGCCTCCTGAGTCGCTGGGATTACAGGCACGCACCACCATGCCCAGCTAATTTTTTGTATTTTTAGTAGAGACGGGATTTCACCATGTTGACCAGGATGGTCTTGATCTCTTGACCTCGTGATCCACCCTCCTCGGCCTCCCAAAGTGCTGGGATTACAGGCTTGAGCCACCGCGCCCGGCCTATCCCTAATTTTCAAAGTTTTTTATCATCCCTACCTCATTAGGCTTAGAGCAAGACTTTGGTAACAACAGAGAGAAAATTTGGAGTAGTGCTCTCAGCTGATACATAGTTTCCTTCCATAAGGTCTAGAAACCTGTGCAGAATGTGAAATGCAAACCTTGAGCAGCCATGATTTTCCTCAAGTATCATCTCTCAGTTTCCAGTGGGAGCTTTTCAGCTTTCACAGTCTCAGCATCCTATTTATCAGCGGAAAGAATCAGGGAAAGGCAGAGAGCACTGAGTTCATTCAACCCATGACCATATTCCGGAAAGATCCCAAGTAACCCAAAGATTGTCCAGATCAGTGTGTTTCATCACTCATTCACCTGGGGGAGATATGCTAGCCACTTGACCAATTTGAGCTTCACTTTCCTCCTCATAAACTTATGTTCCTGGCTGGATATGGTAGCTCATGCCTGTAATCCCAGCACTTTGAGAGGCCAAAGCGGGCAGATAACCTGAGGTCAGCAGTTCAAGACCAGCCTGGCCAACATGGTGAAACCCTGTCTCTACTAAAAAAAAAAAAAAAGAAGAAAGAAAAAGAAAAAACAACAAAAAATTATATTCCCTTCTAAGCACAGCTGCAAAAAGAAAAAGAAAAAAAAGCCAGGCATGGTGGCTCACGCCTGTAATACCAGCACTTTGGGAGGCTGAGGTGGCCAGATCACCTAAGGTTAGGAGTTTAAGTCCAGCCTGGCCAATATGGTGAAACTTCGTCTCTGCTAAAAATACAAAAAAAAAAAATTTAGCTGGGTGTGGTGGCGGGCGGCTGCAATCCCAGCTACTCAGGAGGCTGAGGCAGGAGAATCGTTTGAACCCGAGAGGAAGAGGTTGCAGTGAAGCAAGAATGCGCCATTGCACTCTATCCTGTGCAACAAGAGTGGAACTGAGTCTCAAAAAGTAAATAAATAAAATAAATTTTAAAAAATAGAAAAAAGATAAAAAATTATATTGCCACTACAGCCAAGTCGAGGAATGCAATTATTTCCTTACATATATGTTGTATATATAGTCTAACTTCACTATTATGAAAATTGCTGCAGTGGACATCTGTGTTTCGTTACACTTGTCCAAAGATTGAGTCCTTGGAACAATTTGGTTTTTAAATAATTTTTGTATAAATAATATAGTCACATGGTTCAAAATTCAGAAGGTGCAAAAGGCATCTGTGATAAATTTTTCTTTTATCAGTTCCTTTCCACAGAAACAGTGTTACAAGTTTGTTGTATGTTTTTCCAAAGACAGAAAACATACATACAAAACCATTTGGGTACTCCTTTACCCAAATGGTAGTACAGAGAAATGGGACTTGACAGTTCTCCTGGTAGTTGAGTCCACAGGCAAGGCTTTAGTGCAGACCCAATACTGTAGAGAGTCCTTTTGTAGTCAAACAACTTGAAGTTTTACATCCTGTGTTACATAAAAAATTGGAAATTTTCAGGTATACTTTTTTTTTTTTTTTTTTTTTTTTTTTTTTTTGGCAAAGTCTCGCCTTGTCACCCAGGCTGGAGTATAATGGTGAATCTCAGCTCACTGCAACCTTTGCCTCCCAGGTTCAAGTGATTCTCCTGCCTCAGCCTCCCAAGTAGCTGGGATTACAGGCGTTCACCACCATGCCCAGCTAATTTTTTGTATCTTTAGTAGAGACAGGATTTCATCATCATGTTGGCCAGGCTGATCTCGAACTCCTGACCTCATGATCCGCCTGCCTCAGCCTCCCAAAGTGCTGGGATTACAGGTGTGAGACACCGCACCTGGCTTAGGTGGTCTTGTGATATAGGTAATTTATCTGGTTGAATGAAGATGATGAAAACTTATCTGACTTCTCTTATGACAGTTTGGTTGCAAATCTGGGGCAAAGATAGGCATGATTGTTGACATTTTTATACAAACTGTGATCATCACCTATAGTAAACTTGCACAAGAGACCTCGTTCTATATATTGGTTGACTCCCTGCTTTTTTCATTTAGTGTTTATGAATGTTTTAAAGTTCTTGAGACATATATTTTGGTATCTGAAAACTTGCTGTCCACCAGCACCATGGCAGGTTCTGGGCACTGCATCAGTGAGTAGTGCATCAGTGAGCGCTGTTGTCATGGTGCCTGTCATGTGTGCAGCTAATAGTCCAGTCTACCCGAGAGCCTCACTGTATGCATAGGAACTGTGTGTGTGTATGTGTGTATATAACCAAACATGCTGAGTGTTAGAGGGGAAAGAGGCACGGCAATGAGAGTAAAATGAGAGTCAACCTTATCCAGTGACTGCACACCTTCTGATTGTCAGTATTATAAGTATTCAGACCAAACTGATTGAAACCTAGCTGTGTATAACTTGGTGGCCGAGCCAGCGCCTCTAAGCAGGGCGTTGGACAGGCTGAGCTTCCTGCCACGTGACTGGGAAACTCTGAAGCTCAGCGGTTTCCAGATTTCAAGCCCGTCAGTGGTACACCTCAGCTGGCAGGTGGTCCCCTTTATGTTATGTAGCTTTTCATAATGTTCCACTGTGGAATCTGCTGTCACCTGCTTTACTGGAACCAATTATGAGACCAAAAGTAGGTAATAAAAATGTTAAATACCTAGTGATTTATCTTCTGAGAAAAGTGTTATTCCTCATTCTTCATACAACCTTTAAAAAGAATTCTCTGGGCCATTTTATTAAACATAAATTCTTGCTGGTAAGTTATGAAATCATACCCGTGTAGCTTTTAGACCTGTAAAAATCAATCAGCATTAACACATTGTTAGGGCCCTTCAAACTTATCCCTGATTTTAGGCATAGTATCAGCAGGGCATGGTGGCTCACCCATGTCATCCCAGCGCTTCAGGGGGCTGAGGCAAGAGGGTCACTGGAGCTGGGGAGTTTGAGACAAGCCTGGGCAACATGATGAGACCTCCATCTTTACAAAAAAAATTTAAAAATTAGCTAAGTGTGATGGTGTGTGCCTATAGTCCCAGCTACTCTAGAGGCTGAGGTATGAGGATCACTTGAGCCCAAGAAGTCAGTCAAGGCTGCAGTAAGCCATGATCGTGCCACTGTACTCTAGCCTGGGCAACAGGGTGAGACTCTGTCTCTAAAAAATTAATAATAAAAATTTAAAAGGCATAGTATCTTATTTCAGATTTCAGTTGACAGATAGGACTGAAGACCCTTAAAATGTGCCAAGTTATGAAGAATTGTAAGCACAATGAAAACCTGGCGGACCCTTGAGTGTTTTGGCTGTTTCCTTTTACCTTCCCTGCTGTGAAAGTAATTGTTTCAATTTGACAGATGCTTCTTTTTGTGTGTGTGAGACAGTCTCACTCTCCATCGCCCAGACTGGAGTGCAGTGACGTGCAATCTCAGGTCACTGCAACCTCTGCCTCTCAGGTTCAAGTAATTTTCTTGTCTCAGCCTTCCAAGTAGCTAGGATTACAGGTGCACGCCACCATACCCAGCTAATTTTTGTATTTTTAGTAGAGGTGGGGTTTCATGTTGGCTAGGCTGGTCTCAAACTCCTAACCTCATGTGATCCGCCTACCTTGGGCTTCCAAAGTGCTGGGATTACAGGCATGAGCCACTGAGACTGCCGATGCTTCATTTTAAGATAGATGTTTCCATGGCCAGAAAATTATCTGCTAACTAATCTTTGCCAATTAGAAAAGTTTATTTTTTTCTTCCATTATACTCACTCATTCTTTTCAAAAGTTAACCAAAAATAATTCCTTTGGAACAGAAGTCGTTGCTGTTACATGATTGCCACAGTAGCAGCAATACATTTCTTAGGTTTTTGGTTTTTTTAATGGAAAATCACACTTTATATCTATTTGAAATGTAGTTTCAGGATTAAAAATTATGTGTGTGCGTATGTGTGTGCGTGTAAAGATTATTAGGCTCCAAATATACTTTCCTCTAAATAAAGACCTGCATGACCTTAAAATAGAATAAATTCTATCAAAATCAGAGCTACCTGAGGAAATGAAAATAAAGGTGGAAGAGTTTTCCTTTGAGAAAAAGGTGGTGGAGTACCGGCCAACGAAGACTGCAGGCGCTCGCCTGGGGCTGTTTCCCATTCAGAAGGTCCCTCCCTCTTTCCTGGCCTCCCCTCCCCCAGAGCCTAATCAAAGGATTAGCCTACAGGTTTGGAAACAACAGCCGCTTGAGTTAAAGGCTTTTTATCCCCTTCTTGTGCTTAAATGCAGGAACTAGAAAAGTCTTTGGCTAGCTGGACTCAGAACTTGAAAGAACTTCAAACTATGAAGACGGACTTAACCCGGCACGTTCTCGTGGAAGACGTGATGGTTTTGAAGGAGCAAATAGAGCATTTGCACAAACAATGGGAGGACCTCTGCTTTAGGGTAAGTTAGTTCACTGCAGGGCACGGCTGCATGAGAGTGGACTGAAACGTCTCTGAAGGCCAGACAAAGTAGAAAGCAGCTTAATTTCATTGAACCGGAGGCCCTTTTCAGTGGGACCCCTGGCCCAGCTGCTGCTCCTTTGGAAGGCAGCAACATGGTTTAACAGATTTGGCCCTTTTGTTTCTCAAGCGCTACATGCTAGAACTTTGCACGCTTTTAATAAGCTTTTTAAAAAGTCACCTTAAGTGGAGACAAAAAATTGCAGTTCTGATCAGATGTGTAGACTGCTCTCTGGCTTGTTGTAGGTACCAAGTCCTAATCAGTGTATCAGAAGCAGGACCCAGTGAAAAGGTCCTTTAGGAGTCTCTTCTGGGCCTAACAGCAGGAGTCTTCCTTAGTGCCCAGCAGGCATGGGAGCATTTCCTATGCGTACTCTGCGTTCATATGCAATCTGATGTTTATTTCAAGTAGCTGGTTTGTAAAATTCTCTAAGAGAAATGACCAGCTGCTACGTTGTGTCTCAGTGGATTACTTAGACTTATTAAGAATGGGATTCTAGTAATAGAGTATTATATGGTATATGCTTGTGACAGGATCAAGATTGAATTAAGGGGTTCAAATAGTCTTAAAGATCTTTGTTTTAAGAGCATGGAATTCTAATGAAAATAAATTCCTTAATCTCATTTGTGTGAATAATTAAGAGATGTGTTTAAAAAGTTGAAATTCAGATACGTTGTCCTTCTTGATTTTAGTATTTTATATTCACAGTGTACCCTAATTTTAAATGTTCTTTTAGAACTTTTCAAATTTTATATAAAAGGAAATGTTTGGAATATATGAAAAGTATTCTAAAAGTTAAGGCAGACCGGAAGACTGGAAGCCAGATGTTCCTGATTGTTACTATTATGAAACCAATCAGTCAGAAGGACACTGTGCAAAATGCCAGCGGTTTTAAGAGCTAAAATAAACAGATGCCCTGAGGAATGGAAACACAACACTTGTTTTTCTAGGATAGTTTTTCAAGCCTTTTTAACACATTTGGCTGGGTAGGATATATAAGCATTAGTATTTCCTCCTCTGAAAAGAGCAGAGGTTTCTTTATAAACAGCAAGAAAATCTCAAGAGAATTCAACCTTGATTTCCTGGTCCATATAGTGGGGTGTCAAAACTTTACCAAAAGAACTCTTAGCCACCCCCTTTTAACTCTAAGATTCTTGAAGATTCTTAAAATGTGGGAATACTTTTTTCCATCTAATAAGGCTGATTTACATTACTTAAATTTATATTTAAGTAGTAAAATGTAAACCTTTAAGGAAGAGGACCCTTAGCTGATGTCGGTTTAGAGGTTACTTACACATAATGGGGTATTGCGTATTTTGGGTCAGCCTGCTTTCTGCGGACCGGCTGCTGGTGATGTTTCCACGGTGTCCATCCAAAAGCCACAGTGCATAATGGGAAAGTGGGTTACATGAGTGATGTGCGTTGTTTTTGGTTTTGCTTTGTTTCGCAGCATAACACTAGCACATTTAAATGGATGTAGTTTTTCTGGTCCGTTTGCATTATAAATGTCTGATTTACATTATATCTGGATTAATAGTTTTTAAATTAAATAGACAGGACATTGTCCTTATGTAGGTATGAGGATTTAATTTGTTGTTAAAAGGGCAAGGATTTGGGTTATATGTTCATCTAGCCGTTCCTGTTTCTAATTTTTAATGTAACTGGATAGTAACACACGTGTATTGGGTAAAACAGTCCGTTCAGTTGCAGTCTCTATTTTGTTACTTTTTACGGCATTTATCACAGGTGTAAGGAACATCTGTTGGTGCTAAATTCTAGGTTTTTAAGAGGCAAAAACAGAAGTGTACATGTAGAGAGCTACTGATTAAAATGAACGAAACTCAGTCTTTTTGATGTGAGAGAGAGAAGCGGGTGCTTTCCTTCCTGGTGATACTGAGCTGCCAAATGCATTTTCATTCGCAGGTGGCTATACGTAAACAGGAGATTGAAGACAGACTCAATTCGTGGATTGTATTCAATGAAAAAAATAAAGAGTTGTGTGCCTGGCTGGTGCAGATGGAAAACAAGGTTCTACAGACAGCAGATATTAGTATCGAAGAAATGATTGAAAAGTTACAGAAGGTAAGGGAGGACACCAGGTGGATGTAGTTATGACTACAATGGAATTCTCCATTCTCCTCTCTCCTAGGCCCAAACAGGTGGAATGTTACAGGTATGTTCCCGGGAATTTTAGAAATTTGAAAGGACTTCACTGTTTTTGATCCTTTTGAGAGAACAGTTAGAAGAGAGAAGGTTCCAGAGAGATGGGAGTATGAGACCACTGGCAGTGGGCATGGTACCGAAAAGAGTTGCTTTCTCTCCATTAGGAAGTTTGGCCAGGGAAGGGGCTTACATATCCTTACACATCAGCTCTTGCCCAAGTGAGTTAGAGTTTCTCTAGTTATTAAGAAGCTCCCCTTGGCTGGGCACAGTGGTTCATGCCTGTAATCCTAGCACTTTGGGAGGCCGAGGTGGGTGGATCACCTGAGGTCAAGAGTTCAAGACCAGCCTGGCTGACACATGGTGAAACCTCGTCTCTACTAAAAATACAAAAATTAGTCTGCTGTGGTGGTGGGTGCCTGTAATCTCAGCTACTTGGGAAGCAGAGGCAGGGGGATTGCTTGAACCTGGGAGGTGGAGGTTGCAGTGAGCCAAGATCGTGCCATTGCACTCCAGCCTGGGCAACAGAGCAAAAACTCTGTCTCAAGAAAAAAAAAAAGCTCCCCTGGCCAAAGGGGAGAGACCAACAGCAGCAAGGCTCATAATTTTGAAATGGTAACTGATCCCCACAGGGAAAGATAATAAGAACATTCTTGCTGCAGTCACCCAAAACACCACTCAGTCAAACCTCAAGGAAACTGTAACCCATAGCAGGCTAATTAGTTATGCCCAGTTGTCCTCAGCTCCCAAGTAGGTTAGAAGAAATCGGTGAGAGGAAACAGTGGGATCTTACTGGGTTGCAAAGGCTAGTCTTGAACTCCTGGACTTGAGTGACCCTTTTGCCTCGGCCTCCCAAACTGCTGGGATTATTAGTATGAGCTACTGTGCCTGGCCGATTTTTTTTTTAATTTCAAGAGGCAACTCTGTATGTTTGTGGCAGGAGAAGAAACGACTTTCGGGTAATAATCCAGGCTTTGTGTTTTGGTGCCTTTGCCAGGACTGCATGGAAGAAATAAACTTGTTTAGTGAAAACAAGTTACAGTTAAAGCAGATGGGTGACCAGTTGATCAAGGCCAGCAACAAATCGAGAGCAGCTGAGATCGATGACAAGCTCAACAAAGTTAACGATCGTTGGCAACATCTTTTTGATGTCATCGGATCAAGGTAAGAAATGGCCTAAAAATGATTCATACTCTCCAGGAACAGTGATTATTTTACAGATCTAGTAAACTGAGCTTCCTCTAACATGATCCAGCAATTTTGTAAGTTTACAGATTAAGGCAAAGGCTGATAAAAATTAGTGGTAATTCTTTCTATATTATTTAAAAAGTTATGTGCTAGTATATTCCATGTTAATATTTCTTCTTTAGCTTACAACTTCACATGAATTAGAGTAGTTTTAAATGAGAGTTGGGCCGGGCGCGGTGGCTCAAGCCTGTAATCCCAGCACTTTGGGAGGCAGAGGCGGGTGGATCACGAGGTCAAAAGATCAAGACTATCCTGGTCAACATGGTGAAACCCCGTCTCTACTAAAAATACAAAAAATTAGCTGGGCATGGTGGTGCGTGCCTGTAATCCCAACTATTCAGGAGGCTGAGGCAGGAGAATTGCCTGAACCCAGGAGGCGGAGGTTGCGGTGAGCCGAGATCGCGCCATTGCACTCCAGCCTGGGTAACAAGAGCGAAACTCCGTCTCAAAAAAAAAAAAAAAAATGAGAGTTGGAAACTTATTTGGAAAGGGATCCTTGGGAGGGGTTATTGTTTAGAAATTCTGACTCTGTGTTAGCATGTGCGTGTCCCCACAGTGAAATTATGCCTGTTGTTCCTGTCTCAGTATGGCAAATCAGGCAGGTCAGGGCCCAGGCCCAGAATCTGGAGGCTGGGGGCCCATGACTGCCCCACTACCTGCACTCAAGGCAGGGGCAGGAGTCTTCTGTAACATGTGGGCTCAGAGTGTCAGGTCTCTCATGGTCATCTTGTCCTAGGGTGTGGATTTGGGCACAACCAAGTCCTAAATCAGAAGACCGCAAATCAAAGCTGTATTTGCCAGTGTAGTCTTATCAGAAATAGAACTGATAATTTTCTCTCTCAAAATGACGATGATACCCAAAGTTCTTAAATGTCTTGTCTTCAAATTCCCTCTCTGAAGACAAACTCCAAGTGGATGTTTTTTCTGTGGCTACCTGGCATACAGAGAACAGTCACTTGGCCTTGGGACCACTTGTGCAGCTGTGTTTCCACTGGCCACACGGGTTCTTTCTGTAGCAGTGTGAGCAGATGTTTTGAATATAAATATTCAAAACAATATATCAAATTTGGAATATACAGGAGAACCTATAAGGTGAATAAAGAATTTGGGGGGGTGATAAAAGTAAGATACTCTTCATAATTTGGCATCTTCTTTACCTCATTGTTTACTGGAAACCATAAGTGAACCTGAGTCAGTCAACAGAGACACTGGGCTAAATGCTATGAGAATTACAGGCAGAAAGTAAGCTGCGTCAGTTACCTTAATGGGAGTAGGTATCTGAACAGCTGTAAAACCAAGTGGTTCGAGAGCTCAGATCCCATCTTCCTGGGATTAGGAAGAGCCTAACAGAATAGCTGTGTTCCCAGATGGTCCTGCATGAGGGATTGCGATTCCTGGCGGTTACTGGTGGCAGAGAGGGTGACACATATGTTGAGAGCAAAGCGGTACAGAGTAGAGCAGCATCAAAGCCATTCAGGAAGTGATGAGAAGTCCTACTGACCCCAGCATAGGAGATGAGCTAGAAGGATAGGCTGGGGACAAATCTTAGAAGACTTTTGTTTGTTTGTTTTTGTTTTTGAGACAGAGTTTTTGCTCTTGTTGCCCAGGCTGCAGTGCAGTGGTGCGATCTCAGCTCACTGCAACCTCTGCCTCCTGGTTTCAAGCGATTCTCCTGTCTCAGCCTCCCGAGTAGCTGGGATTACAGGTGCATGCCACCACCATTTTATTTCCACTAAAAATAATTTTTGTATTTTTAGTGGAAACAGGGTTTCATTATATTGGTCAGGCTGGTCTTGAACTCCTGACCTCGTGATCCACCTGGCTTGGCCTCCCAAAGTTCTGGGATAACAGGTGTGAGCCACCGCACCTGGCCTAAAGACTTTGAATCTCAGCTAAATACTTAGCCACCTAAAAAAAAATCTGAGTTATGCCTGGTTCCTTAGCAGTGGAGGGTTTGCTGAAGACAAATATTAGGGGGATTTGGCTGGCAACATAGACTGGTCCAAGTTGAACTTCTCTCCACAGCCAATTTGGAAAAAAAAAATCTACAGAAATGCATGGTGGAAACCTAAGTAAGGATTAAGAGCACAAGTTTTGAACCATTCCTGACTTTCCCACTTATTCACTGTGGAATCTTGAGTGTGTGATTTAACCTTTCTAAGCCTCAGCTTCTAAACCTACAAAATGGGTCTAATTGGCTCACATCAGAGGACTTTCCTGCTGTCCGCTGTGAGGATATGCGTCACACCTTTGGTATAGGGCCAGCACATGACATATGGGCCAGCATTTATGGAGTGGTTGTTTTCATTACTTTCCCATGAGAAGACTCTTAAGTCACATGTTTATTGAGTGGAAGATGATTCTGTCAGTTACATCTAGTGATGAGAGATCTTTCCCAGGGAGGCCTGCGACTGGACTACCTCATTCTCAAAGCTTAGAACAGTGCGTCAGATGTTTGTTGAAATGAAGAAATGTTTTAGTGCGTTCGTTAAGAATAAGATAATTTTTGTGGGATAAATTGTATCTTCGTGGTCGCCTTTATAGCCTAAGTCTTCTCGGGCCCTTGGCACTAGTCGAAGGTAGGATGGCATCATGCCTGTTCATGGATCATACAGGATCAAGATCTAGCTAATGTTTCCTGAGGGCTAGACCATCCATTCTTAATCATTCATGCTCTGCTTATATCACAGTGGAGTGTAACAAGCTGTTTGCTTTCCTCACTGCCTCTTTGGCTGCCTGTCTTCAGCCAACCTTTTGGTGGGAAGAGATAAAACAGTGGGTGAAACTGTGTTAATCTTTTTGGAAAGAACAATTGGGGGAAAAAGGAGTTGAAATAATAGCAAATGTATCGTCAGCTGCCTGTATTCTTAATATGCCTTTTGTGTATGATTTCACTTAAACATTGTGATTCTGAAATGTAAATATCATTGCCCCATTTTATACACAGATAAGGAAACTGAGGACTGATGCTAAGTAACTTACCCATAGTTACACAGCCAGCATGTGACTCAACCGGGAATTCAACTCAGGCAGTGTCCCCTCCCTGACAGCCCAGACCCTCTCATTTGAAACACCGCAGTGAGCAGTACATGTTGAGTACCTAATACCTTCGACCCTGAGGAATTTGGGAGGGAATCATTTTTCTTATTTTAAAGCAAGGGCTAGGCTGAGAAGCTCTTAGCTAAGTTTATTGTTCAGGTGAATCTGTGGGTTGAGGCAGCGAACTTGGACCTGTCATAAATCAGCCTTACATAGAATCCTTGATGCTGACTTCACCCTGGGCATTGTACAAAGGGAAGGAAGGGTTGGAAGAACAGGCTGCAGACTTTATGTTTGAACAGTGGCAACAAGAACTCGCTCTGCAGGGCTCCCTGATGGCTTCATTTGCCCACCAGATCCAGGACACCATGCACCCTTTTCCATCCTGCCCACAGTATTCTGCTGCTTTGGCCCTTTGGCAGGGAATAGCATCTCTTGTTAAAATTAAGATTGGCTAGTCCAGTGCAGTGGCTCATGCCTATAATCCCAGCGTTTTGGGAGGCCAAGGTGGGCAGATCACGAGGTCAAGAGATTGAGACCATCCTGGCCAACATGGTGAAACCCCATCTCTACTAAAAATACAAAAATTAGCTGGGCATGGTGGCGTGGGCCTATAGTCCCAGCTACTGAGGAAGCTAAGGCAAGAGAATTGCTTGAACCTGGGAGGCGGAGGTTACAGTGAGCCGAGATTACACCACTGCACTCAAGCCTGGCAACAGAGCAAGACTCCATCTCAAAAAAAAAAAAGAAATAAATTGAAAATAAAAAAAGACTGGCCAGGCATGGTGGCTCACGCCTATAATCCCAGCACTTTGGGAGGCTGAGGTGGACAAATTACCTGAGGTCAGGAGTTTGAGATCAGCCTGGCCAACATGGAGAAACCCCATCTCTACTAAAAATAGAAAATTAGCCAGGCATGGTGGTATTATATGCTTCTGGGCCAGGCGCTATGGCTCATGCCTATAATCCTAGCACTTTGGAAGGCCAAGGTGGGTGGGATCATGCGGTCAGGAGTTCAAGATCTACCTGGCCAAGATGGTGAAACCCCATCGACATTTGTAATTTTGAAAACTACGAAAATTAGCTGAACATGGTGGCGGGCGCCTGTAATCCCAGCTACTCGGGAGGCTGAGGCAGGAAAATCACCTGAACCCTGGTGGCAGAGGTTGTAGTGAGCCAAGATCATGCCACTGCACTCCAGCCTAGATGAGAGACTCTGTCTCAAAAAAAAAGAAAAAAAAAATTATATGCTTCTATGTTCGTTTGTCAAATTAAACAAAGAGTTAAACTTTTTTTTTTTTAATCGTGCCTATTAGACCCTCTCCTCTCTTTTGAGACAAGGTCTGGCTGTATGGCCCAGGCTGAAAACACAGTGGCACAATCACAGCTCATTGCAGCCTTGACCTCTCAGGCTCAAACAGTTCTCCCACCTCAGCCTGTCAGGTAGCTGGGACTACAAGCACACACCACCATGCCCGGGAAACTTTTTGTTTTTGTTGTTTGTTTTTTGTAGAGATGGGGTTTCACCATATTGCCCAAACTGGTCTCGAGTTCCTGGGCTCAAGTGATCCTCCCACCTCTGCTTCCCAAAGTGCCCGAATTACAGGCATGAGCTGCCCACATCCAGCCTTCAGTAACATCTTTGAAAAGTAACTTAGCAAAACTTCTGAATGCAGGACAGACAACTAAATTACAGAAGTTATTTTTCAGAACTACCAATTGTGTGATCCTCTGTTCTGGAGGAACCTGGATTACCTAAGAACAGTTGAGATACAGATTGGTGGGTGATAGACAAAAAGATGCAGGGTTAACCTTCACAGCCATCACAGACCGAAGCTCGGAAAAAAAGGGTCCTTGGATCTCATCCCGTCAATGGG